AATGTTCGGCTCCGCCCGAACTTAGACTTTCTTACTTGTTTTATTTGGCTTTTACAATTGCATGTATTAAAAGGAAATAACTGAAAAATTGCACTTGCCTAAAAAACCTCCTTCTTAATTTGGAATTGTTTTCTGAATAATCAAAGCTTTTCGCTAGCTTAGAGGGGAAAACTTGTTAGGTGCAGTTTCTTCCATTTATAGGCCAGCTCTCAAGAAAAACGAACAATTCATATAAAGTAATGCACGAGAAATGGAAAAGAAATTTTCTTCTATCAAATTTCTTAAATCAGTTTGCAGCTCTCAAGAAAAAATTATTTCTTCAAGTATTTTTTCTTTTTAAATATCTTAAATTAAAAAAAAAATTAGTAAAACAAAGCTCGGTTTTTAAAGAAAGAGATGCTCCTATTCAAATGAAGTGAGGGGCGCTTAATGTGGGAAGTGAACCTTTTTCGTTATAAATTCTAATATCTCGAGAACGAGATAAGCTAGCAAAAAAAAAAATTAAAAATGCGTTTTTCGCTTCCTGCGACCATGGATTCCTTGTCGCAAGAGCAGCAAACATATTTGCATAAAAATTTAAAAAGTTCACTGCATACTGTTTTCAGGTAAAAAAAAAGAAAAACAATTTAAAACCCTCTAACTTTGAAGATCATTTGAAAGGTCAAGATAATCTTTTTATCCAACGAAACTATTTTTTCTGAATTCTCCATCTGAAAAGCATTAAAACGCTATTGTTCTCGTTCTCGAGATATTGGAATTTGTCACGAAAGGAGTTCAAGTTCCACACTGTGGGCCGTATTTGAATGCTTGAACTCATTTAAAACGCATAAGGATCAATTGAAATTCGGGCCTCTTATTCATTTTCATGTAATCTGTGAAAAAGCAATAACTGAATCGGAATAGCTATCAACGTATAAACACAAGCTACTTTCGCAACTATCAGTGCCCAATGAAATAATTTTCGTAGATTTCACGAAAATCGAACCTAAGATGGACCCCGAACTTTATATCCGCTTTCCAGAGATCATTTAATTTTAAATCAGAGCTGGAAAGGTTTCACTGCAATTCGCTGAACGTTGGCTTTCAAATATGCGAAAGTTCTCGGGTTGTCAGTGGGTTAAAGTGAGCTCAAGAAAATAATCCAGATGAAAAAGGAACTCAATTATCAAACTTTTTCAACAACCAAGATTTTGTTAATAAAATTCAAAAACCTGGATTTTGTTAATAAAATGTGTTTATTCTTTATCTTTTCATATCTCTTCTGTAGTTCGTAGTTAAAAAAAAAAACAGCTTAGTTGTATGTAAACATAAAGGGACGTTTGAAAGAGGTCGTTCGAGTTACATTAAAATAAAATTAGTAATGTCTTTTGCTAAATAAGAAAACTTATATATTAAACATCTATCAATTTTGCATACATAAGCCGAATATATTTATTTTTGGGATAATTTGGAATTCGATTTGTGTTTTGTGCGCGTCAACAATAATTCCTTTAAGTACAGGAAAATACGGTAAAGCGATGATTTAAATGTCTTTTGTACTGTAAGCATTTGTACATATATATGTATTATGTACATGCATATTCAGCCAACAAATATAAATAAAAATTAATGCATCTGCGACGTTGTACGTATAGTGTTTTAGGATAATTTGCTTTTTCGGGTACCTTTTTTTTATTTTAAAACGCTGCTGCTAGGTTATATGAATGTAAATATTTTTTTTTTCCTAAATTGCATTATATCAAAATACACGCCTTTTCTTCTCCACTAATTCTCAGTAAGCATACATACATACATATTTACTATTTAAAATAACTAATCAAAAATTTTACTTCGATCGCTTTACAGCGCTGTTATTTTATTATTGGTTTTTGGGATTTCGTTGAATTCCATTGGCAATTTTTTTTTTCACCAAGTTGTAGGTAAGATTTACATTTACATATGTCTGTCTGTATATAAAAGTTATTGCTATTTAAATTTATTTATATATCTGTGTGTGTGATTGGCAAGTCTGTTTCATGCATTGTTCCTTGTTTTTTCATTTTCTTTGTTTTTTTTTGTTCTTAATTTGAATTCTAAGATCCTATTCTGTTTTCATCCATTATTGTATGTATGTATATATTCTTTCGTCAGCGCCTTTCTTATTCAATTCTGTAATTTTCCATTTGTTTCGTTTCATTGCACCTCGGTTAAAAATTAAACATTTTTCTATTACAACGAGTATTAACCGATCGATGCTAGTTCGTTAAAAAATAATTAATTTCATTAATAGCTTCATTTATCTATAAGTTAAAAAAAAAAAAAACATTCAACCGAAGTGTATGTATTTATGTTACTAAACTTAGTTATTTAATTGCAAGAAATTTGTTGCGTAAAATTAATATTCGTAGCCAATTTGTGGTGATATGCTTCCACCAATTCGTAAGTGAGTATCCAGAGCGTTCATTGTCAATTTCATTCGCACCACCCAAACTGTTAGACCGTACTTCAGTTCTTTTAGTTTTTTTTTTTTTTTTGTTTTTTTTTGTGTGTTCGAAGTGACACTGGCAACTGTACAGCGTGTCCGTCTCACGGTTGCCGCCGCATTCCTCAACAGGACGGCATGCGGCGCATTCATCATCAGTCTGCCGACAGTTCATCGATGCGACAACGCACGGCGTGCTCCACCACCTCTAAGCTCGGGTAGTCCAGCTCTTTGACGAGACACAAAGTTGCCGATAGCAAATTCGAACTCTGAAAATTTGAAAAAAAAAATTAAATTATTTTATAAATTTTTTCAATGGAAATTTGGTAAGCTTGTTTCGTGAAGCTTGAAATTTCAGCCGTATTATTTCTACAAATCGAAAAATTCCTCAAGTGTTTTCATTTTTCACACTTACCCGATTTATGGGGCGCCTATGATAGCCCGAATAATGATTAAGTACAGCTGTTGAAACGGTGCTAGCTGAGTCACTGTAACGTCCATCGGGCCGCCTATAATGAAATAGTATGTATGCATATAATTAATTTACACCACTAATTCAAGAAAAAATCACAAATCACTTCATTACCTGGCTCGCGGTCGCTCCGCGTCATCCCAATCGCCGCCATTTTCACGCGCGCTGCCATTCCGATAAGCATAACGGTCACTGACCTCACTTCGACGCGGACCACCACTGCCGGCATGATGCAATGCAGCAGTGCTGCCAAATTGATTGTGCTGCTGCTGTTCCTCCCACTCAGTCAAATCGGTTTGGCTATGACGGTAATGGGCAGGATATGACGGACGGTCAGACTGGTAGTATTCCTGCCAAAGAAAAAAATGGCAGAATGGAATAGCAACGCATATGCAAATACGAAAAATTTCAACAACAAAAACAACGTAGCTGAAAGCATATGTATATGTACGTAAATTTAATATACTATTTTTGCACCAAAAAAAAAACAAAAAAATAATGAATGATTTTAAAAATACCAAAAAGTAACTGAATTGAGGATTAATAATCGTATTAGTATTACCGCAACCTCAACTTACCTTCATCGATTGTGTAGATATGCTAGGTGGGATAGGCGCACGCTCCCGGTACCCAACATGCGGACTATCCTGATCCGAGCCCGGAGAGCGCTGTTATTCATTACCAAAAGTTTCAATTTGTTAGTCAAATGCAATTTCGTATAGCCGCGCAGTTGAGCGAAGGTATGTATGTATGTATGTACGTTGGTGTATGTTAAAATTTTTAGGAGTTACGATTTCGGTGTTTGAGTGCAAAAAAAAATACATAACAAAAAATTGCTGGTTAGTTTAGATAAAGGGTGCGTCAAAGTGCTTAATATAAGCTGAGAGCCGTTGACTACGAGCACAATGACATACATAAATATGTATTTGTCTTTTCCCAACCCATATCACCTACCTATTCAGTTCACCTAAAAGTGGAGTCCTCCTCGCATATTTCATGCCATGAATTCATAACACAAATTTCCCTGGAAAACGTACATATCTACATATGTACATGTTTTAATTTATGTATGGACCTAAATACTTATGTTTATGTACGTTTGCAAATGAAATGTTGCCGAAAAATCGCGTGACACTCGACAGTGGCATATTCACAATCGATAAATGCAAATGACTCTCAGAGAGCGGATAGGAGCGGTCCACCTACAAAGAAGAAGTTAGCCGAATCCGTTAGCGCGCTAGTTTTTACATCCTTCAAAATAAACTCCCATAGTCAGAGATGAATATTATAGACCCGTTAGACTATATTTTATTCAAAAAAGTAAACTCCTTGACACTACTCTTTCTCTTATTTTATGTCAAATTCATAAAAATTAATGATTTCGCTGACACGTTCGAAAAATTCATGTCGCCATCGACAAGGCGTTTAGATAACGAAGCTTAAAAATTGAAAGCTGTGGCCTGTGGCCCGTCGTTTCCAATGTGTGTTCAAACATCAGTCATTATAGTGCTTTTCTCCAGTCGCGTACTAATCCGAAGGAAACGGTGATCCTACACAGTGCAATGCCTTGTTATGCTCTTGGTTACGAACCAGCAGAATTTAGTGACTCCGTTCGAATACATACTGACGCCTCTATCTGCAAACAATTGAATAGGCACAAGAAAATCATGATTCCCCGTCGCAAAAAAAAATGGACTTTCCGCATATCGCTAGACTCTCAGCACAGTCCGAGGCTTGCTATGGTTGTATGTAAATTAGAAATACATTCATAATGGGTAGGTACTCGTAGTCAATGGATCTAGAGCTTTTGAGAGACTTCAGTTTACGTAAAAAATAAAAAAATAAAAATAATCGCAGCTACCAATGTTCTTACATCATTTTGATGATAGGACAACCGATTCACGTTCGTGTATGAATTATATTTCGGTGAAGGTGTATGCGCAGCAACTGGCTCCTGTGCAATGGGTGTTGACGATGGTGTCAGAATAAAGACGTAAGCAAAATTGCAAAATGAAAATGAATTAGTACAGTGTCCATTAGTAGTGATGTTTTTGTTGATTTGGTGGTTTAATTTAATGAGTTGGTGGATTTAAAATAAGCATGGGCGTTGCCTAATTGTGCGGGCAACACATTTCAAAAAAAAAGTTGCGGGTCCCGATTTCGCTTAAACTTCTCAAATTCATTTTTAGACTAGCCGTTCTGGTTTTCACAAATCGAGTAAATTTTCCAAATTAAAATTGAGTGCTGCTGTGCAAATAAATTCAAAAGATGCACGATTACCAGTTAGAAAAGCAAAAACCATACTATTTAAGTGTTTGTGAAAGCCAGAATAGGGCAGTTAGGAAATATAAAATAAATTTTGCAAAATTTTTTCGCAGTTTTTTTTTTTGTCATTTTCAAAGTTTTTAAAATTGCAGAATAACTATCTACGATTGTGTTACGAAAGCATTAACGCTACATACATGAATGCAGTTGGGAGCACGAAATACCTGTGCGGGTGAGGCTGGTTTCGATACCTCATTGCTTTTGCTCGGCTCGCTGGCGCTTTCCTCTGTATTTGCCGGACTGTTTTGTTGCGAGGGCTTCGTTTGATTGATTGCAGTGTTGATATTAGTAGCAGAGGTGCAATTAATTTTTTAGTATTTCAGAAATAGATTAGTTCAAGGGGTTTTGTTTGTGCGCGATGTCCGTATTGTAAGCGTGAATTTAAATTAGAATTAGTTATTAGTAAGTTAAAATAGATCTTAAAATACTTTCGCAAATCGAAATACTAATTTTTAATTGAAAAAAAAACGAGAACTACATATTAATATTTACAAAGTATATAACTCAGAAAATTTGGCAATCAATTCATGTATGTATTTCTACACAATTCAATAAGTGCTTGAAGCTGCGAATGATCACGGTATATTATACTATACATTCGTATGTATATATACATATGTACAAACATATATGCTAAGAGTAGTAGCCGCATAATTAGGAAACCTTTACAGGGAACAGTCTCCCAAATACAGAGTTTTTTTTTTGGTTAGCTTTGAATTATAAGACCACCACTCTTTACTGAAATCGATTGCGGCTACTTTGAACGACCATCGCGCCAATAAACTAAAATCTCGAACTTTTTTTTTTTTTAAGTTCCATAAATAAACCCAACTACTGCCTATTTTTCAATACCTAGAAAACGAAAGAAATTCGCAAAACGAAATTCTGCTTCATCAGCATACCAAGCCCGTTAACTGAAGGTAAGTTACTACACTAATCAATACCACATAACGTTACCTTAATTCACAAAGGCACGAACCAACAAATTTTTTTTATTTTAGAGGAGACGCAAAAAACATTATAAAAATAGTATTACGAACAGGTAGGGCTTTCGAAAAAGTGGCAGGTAACACTTTAAAATTTTTAATGAAGGTGTACCAAAATCTGTAAATAAAAGCAGTTTCGAGAAAAAAAAATTGGTTAAGGCCTTTTTGAATTAAGGTAACGATATGTATGTAGAATGTACATACATATGTACACTAATGATCAAAGTGCTGCATATGAATCAAGTGTTGAAATCGATTTGTTTGCGGTGGTGAAGATGCATCAGTGCAATCAGTTATATCCTTCTCATAAAATTTTACCTCTTTCATTGGACTCGAACTGCGGCGCTGCTGATATTGTTGCGGTGACGAATTATGTTGGTACTGTGACGCCGCTTGTTGTTGTTGTTGTTGTCTGTGTTGTGGCGGGTACTGATGTTGTTGTGATTGCTGCTGCAGCTGTTGTTGTTGTTGTTGTTGCTGCTGCTGAGGAGGTGAGGGCTGTTCATAACGCTGTGTTGGCTGTTGTTGCGCATAGCTATCCTCGTACACGTCCTCCTCTTCCCGCGTCCCGCCGGAACCACTGCCGCTGCCGCCGCCGCCACCACGCAAAGCCTCATCGAGCTCCTCCTGTGTCACCTCAACATTATCCAACTTCTTCAGATTTGGCAGGGCGCGAAGCACTGTTTGGCGGTAACTAGCAAAAAAAAAAAGGGAAAATATTTGTGCATTTTGGGATGCCGGTCTATTCAAACAATTTATCTGAGTCTCACTTGGGCCCAACCCGATCACAGCACGGATTCTCCTCCAGCCATAAATATTTGAGAGCAGGCAAGCTTTGCAGATAAGCGATTTCATTAATATCCTGTATGTTGTTTTTACGCAAATATAATTCCTGAAGTTTGTGGCAGTCTTCAAATGGTTGCAATGTGGTAATTTTGTTGACGCTGAAACAAAAAGAAGAGCCAAAAAAATTGTTGTAGTCGTAGTTAAAAACGGTCACAAAAAGATCTGCATTGTACTAAAATTTAATGCGCTATAAAACTGCGTACCTAAAAATTAAAAAAAAAAATTAAAATTTTTGGGACACCTTGGTCTTACAATACACATGTTTATGTATTTGAATGAAATGATTTTCATAATCGGGATCAAAACTATGCAAGCCGTTTTTACAAAAATATAAGCCAAATACTACTGAAATTATTGCGGGCAAAATCGAAGTTTCGAATTTTTAGGAGAAATACCGAACTTTAGTCGATTGTGTTACTTTTAATGAGTCCGACCAATTCGCACAGAAATTTTGTACAAATAGAGCAACGTTTACATATGTACATACATATATACATATTAGGGCTGTGCGATTATTCGATTACTCGAGCAAGTTGGTTAATCAATTATTCGGTTAATCAATTACTCGAGTAATCAAGATGTTTATTACTCAAAACGATGATTAATCGAGTTACTTGAAATATGATTACTCAAAAAAAATAATTTTGCTCGTTAAAAGAGTTTGCTTTGGAAAATGCTTATTTTCTTTTTTACATTCAATATATGAAAAAAATTTGATGTTTTAATTTTTGAAAACTGAAACGTTGTTTTCAAAGTATCAAGGAACTTTAACTACTTTATACATATGTAAAGAGTTGAAATGTTGATTACTCATTTTACTCGAAATATTGATTAATCATAAAGCAAATTACTCAAATATTTTTGTTTTTGGTTAATCAAAAATCTTGATTACTCGAATAACTGAACTTTTGAGTAATCATAATTTCCAGTTAATCGAATAATTGAGTTATTTACTTTATGATTAATTAAAATTTTGAGTAATCAATTAATCGCACAGCCCTAATACATATACATATTTATTTTTTTATATGGAAAAAAATGCGTAGGACAGTAAGTAAAAAAAATCTCAAAAATCAACGCGAATTTTTAGACATTTGAAATTTTCACATTATAATAACAATATAAAATTTAATGCACTATAAAACTGCATAGCTGAATTTTTTTAGAAATTCGTATTAAAAAGTTTGCGGTTTTGCAGATTTTTCATAATTTTCGTACACAGTAACATTCTTGGATTTAAATGGGGTTTGTTAAAATATAAGCCATAGTTTAATACAAAATTAACAAAAAAATTTTAGCATGTAAAACATTGCGAATATTAGCAAAAAAAAGAGCAGCACGCTCAATTTTGTGAGTAACAGTACATAATGATGACTGCATTTCCTTAAACGAAGCTTTAATCAACTGCAACGTAAATCAAGCAACATATGCACAAACATGGATTCGTTAAATAAATGTAAACAGAAAATAAACCTTCCACCTAGTTTATATTTCGTTCAAAGAAGTGAATCATTCATGTATGTATATGTATATATTTATGTACATAATTCTTTTGTTTCAAAAGATTACTCATCCCTACTAATAACCGAAGTTGCATCGAAACTCTTATTCTCCTCGTAGTTTGCGTGTAATTTTTATTCATTTTGACTTAATTGTTTTGCCTTTGTCGTCAGTTAACCAAAATCGGTAAGCTGACGTCATTGCTGGTGATGTTTTCGAAATTCATTATGTTTATAATGAGCGCTCGCTCATGTTACACTACTAGTCCAAATTACAGAATGCCACAAGAAAGTAATAAAGACAAAAAAGAAACTAGAAGACACATCATAAAATAAACAAACGAGCTTCTCTTAAGTACTGCTGTGCTTTTTGAGTGTCATCAAAGTTCCGTTAGAGCCATATAAAAGATATGTAAATACATACAATATATGTATATAAGGTACCTATCGTCATTGTCAATGCAAAGAGCTCTAAACAACAAATTTTTCATTTTACTGGAGAAGCAAATTTTACATAGAAAATGCTTTCAGGGCCATCGTTAAGATGTCAATTAATATCTCGTAGTCTTTAAGATATGTACGAGTAAGATTAAACTTTGGATTTTGCTATAGGTAGGAATGCAACACAAACTATCCGAAGCTATCCGAAAATATTAAGCAAGGCAAAATGGTTAGGGCCTTGTTCATTTAAAACGAGCATTGATTGATATGGCGAATGTATTTACATATCTAAATACTAATGCGTATGTGTGTATGTACATACCTACATACAATAAATCTCGAACAAGCTTAGTGTGAACACCTGTCGCAGCTGTGTAAGAAAATATTGTATGTATATTAGGGTGGTCCAAAAACAGTAAAGTCGGAATTGTAACGCTCTCACCCCCCCTAGGATTGTTCTATATCGAAACCGAAATCAAAAAATATTTAGAGGTCGCTCAAAGCGCTCAAAGTTTTCCATGTATTTTTATATGGAAAAAATTAATTTTTTCGTAGAAATGATATAGAATTCTTGAAAGTCAATATTTTTCAATCTGTAAACTCTGGTTCTCTTCAACAGACTTTCAATAATAATTCCCAATTGTTTATTGATCTGGTTCGATGGTGAATCTGTATAGCATAGTTGGTGGCAAGTTCGAAATGGGTGAATATCGTTGGTCCACATAAATCCAGTATACGTAGAATTATTTGAGATGAAATCCTTTAACTGCCTAATTAATGCCTTTATGGGCATTCTTCAAGAATTGTGCTTATTATGGTAAATAATAAAAATAATAAGGTAATTTTTTTTATTTTTAATCAAAATACCATAATACATATTTCAAATCAAGCAATTGTAAATGGAATGGTAAATAATTTACAACGCACTCTAATCTAAATAATTGTTTAGCATAGATACAATTTTGTACCTGTACAACCATTTAAATGGTAATATTACGATCAAAATTAAAGAAATAAAAAAAATGTCGTGTATAAAATTTTCTTTAGATCACTTTATCCGGAATTTTCTATTCGGAAATTTTTTTCAATTTTCCTTGGCCAGAGACAAACGCAACAGAAAAACAGCTCATATAGTGATTTAAATTTTTAAATATTTGGCAACCCTATTGAAAATGATTAATTCTGGTTAAGAGTGCATTGAAATGCCTTGCATTCCCTGAATACGTTGCAATATTTTACTCGATTTATATTTAAGTATATATGTCAGGGACGCACCCAGGAATATATTTTAGGGGGGGTTTTATATTTCTGAAGATATATCACCGGAAAATACTGAAAATTTGCTTCAGATAATACCCTCTTTAAAATACATTTATGCAAGTTTTATGTACAGTATGTAATAAATAAATAAACGTTTTAAAATTCTTAAACTGCACTTTATTTACAGATTAACAGAACTCAAACGCTTTTAACCGACTTCAAAAAAAGAGAAGTTATCATCTCGCCGGAATACATAACTTTGGACCACGTGAACCGTTTTCAATAATCCTTTTTTTATTAGAAATATAGTACCTCAAGGTTCGTCCCGTAATTTGTTTTAGAGATCCGATGATTGGATCATGAAGAAATTAACGGTACCCCTAAATTTGAATATGAGAATTGAAGTCGGTTGTGTTCTTTCCTTAAAAACTACTTGTTTAATAAAAAGTTCTATAAACTCAAGATGCGCTCAACTTTCAAAAGTACCTAATAAAAAATTTTAAAAAGGGGTCAGTAAAAATAAATTTATTGATTCCATGAATTTTTGCACTTCTATGTTCATTTTTTCGATTTCTGGTTTTCGATAGAGATGGTGATTTTTCACGATTGCTAAATTTTTTTAATATTTCAAATACCGAAAAAATTAACTGAACTCTCAAGAAAAACGAAAAATTCATATAAAACGACGGACGAGAAATGGAAAAGAAATTTTCTTCTACCAAAATTTCTTAAATCAGTTTGCAGCTCTCAAGAAAAAAAATGCTCGTATATTTATTCCCTCATGAAAATTTACAGCAAAAGCAAAGCGCTTTTTCAAGCAACAGAAATTATAATAAATATTTCTTATAATTTCCTTGAGAGCTGGATTCTTAGCTTTAAGATACAGCTTGTATTTGAGGTTATTAGCTTTAGGGGGGGTTTGAACCCCAAAACCCACCCCTTGTGTGCGCTAATGATATATGTACATACTTATGTAGACAGCTTTAAAACTGAAATGTTTAAACGAGGAAAGCCAGCGTAAAGCTAGCTAGCTAGAAAAATATTTCAATAAAAAATGTTATTTAAATACCATAGAGCAAACCTTGGGTCAGGTATATGAATTTCTTTTGTATTAAATTATAAAAATAAAAACAACCTTCGTTCGTTATTTCTGTTTAACAGCTATTTAAGTCCTCTTTCATTTGATACCAGATTTGTTTAATTTGGATAAGCGGTTTGTTTATTATTAGGAAAAGACTTTATTTATAAGCACCTTCAAGTGGATCATGAGTTTTGAGCAGTGTTGCCAGAGAGTCCTAAATATATATACATAGTTTGTATGTGTCCAAGGTTGCCATATACTAGTAGCTCGGGTATGTAGCAGCGTTGGGGGTTAATCAATTAATTTTTCAACCCACTTGGGAATTTATTAAAAAAGTAATTGGAATTAAACTTCAATTACACATTGCATTTAAATAAAATGTAATTAAATTAACTTAATTAAAATTAATTTAATTGCAATTGAAATTAATAAAAATGGAAAGCTTTATTAGACTATTATAGGAAACTATAACTGTTGTTTCGTCTAAGAACAAAAAAATAAAATTTTGATAATTGAAAATATCCCTAAGAAAATCACTAAAGATATTGTATCCCTAATTTTTTCCCTCATGGCCTAGAATCACCCCAAATATGGTGAGAATTACGCTTAACTGGCAACACTGGTTTTGAGTTGTGTCGTAATTGCAAAGGACCATCGATATGTATGGTATATGCAAGTATGTATGAAGTTCAGTACAAAAACGGATAATTCAGGGTCATCATGATTTTCTTATTGCCGTTATGTTTTCTTCTTCAGAAAATTATCTTTTGTTAACCTTTACCATCTGGCGTCAAGCGGTCTTGTCAAATAGAACTAT